ACAGTCAGTAGAGTAGAGAACACAATGTCACCAGCTGGCCTGACGACACAAGCCTCCAATGAGAGTTCTCCAGTCGATAAGGATTTGATGGCGGAGGATTGGCTTTAGGTCGAGGTGAACTCTACTGCACATGCCTTGACATCTCACTGTTCCTTTTTCTGGCAGGAGGTTTGAAATGCAATATATCACTAGAACAGCCTTCTTCCTCCCCTATTCCCAAATGCACACACACACACACACCTGCCACCAATGTTTCCGTCTGTGCTCTCAGCAACGGAAGACCTAGACAAGAGCTGCTAAAAGTGGTTATGTAGGACAGCGGAGCACAATGCTGATTATGCAAAAGGCAAAAAAGGAAAATGACAGTCATTAATAGGATTCCAGGAGTTAACTGTCCATAACTAACACTGCCAAAGGCGAGCTGGCAAACAGAGACAATCGGGAGTGTGTGTGTGTGTGTGTGTGTGTGTGTGTGTATTCAGGGACAGTGAGCATACACTGTACAAACAGTTCTCAGTTTAGAAATGAACTATAATAGCAAACATGCAATTAACCGAAAGATGCGAGACCTGCATCCTCAAGGTCAGACGCTATTGAATATTTTGTGTTTAGCGTACAGAAAGTAATTACCACCCACATAATTACAGAAGGTGACTGTGTTGCAATTCACAAACGCACCATATTGCCTTCGAATCATTTCATTCTTCATCTAGCACATTTTCGAGGGGAAGCCCACTGAGCTATTGCAAGACCTTGAATTCCTTGCCACATGAGGGGCTCTTTGTTTCCCCTCGATTAAGCTTGCCTGAGTGTTCAGGGCAGAGTGTGTCACGGTTCCTCAGTGTGTGTGGTGTTGCCAGGCGGCTGTGGTGAGCGCTGACCCCTGCTAAAGCTCCTGCTCCTCACCCCGCTGTGCTAAAAGCTACCTACGCGCTCACTGGCCACCATGTTGGGAAGTGATCCAAATCCACCTCCTCATGCTCCCCTTGCACGCTCTGCTCCTCCGCAGCCGGGCCTGCATTCGGTCGCATCTGCTGTGTGTTAAAACACTTTCTCCCATCACAACTTAAAGTGTATGTAAGCCAGTCATTGATCGTTTTCTCCCAAAAATGTTAACATTCTGGCGCTATCAAAACATTTCTCGACCTGCCTGACATGCCAACAGTGGTTCAACCAATGGTGTGAGTTTGAGGCGGGGCTATCTGTTTGACTGACCAATGACAGATGGGGGTATGTTTGGGAAATCTGTTTGAAAACAGCCATTGTTTTTACAATTTTATTTGCTGATGCCAGAGGAATAGAAATGTTCCTTTAATTTAAACTCTACAACTTTGGAAATTTTGACTCTAAAACTTTAACTCAAAGTAATCTTCAAAAGTAATGTATTTGAATTCATGTTCATTTTCAGAATAAAAATGAGTACAAAAATATACATAAAAGTATATGAGTATATACAGACACTTTTTTATTTATAATAAATAATAATACTAATGTAAGTTTTCATAATATATATATCCTACCGTTTAAGAGTTTTGGGTCAATAAGATTGTTTAATGTTTTTTGAAAGAAAGAATATTACAGTTTAAAATAACTGATTCTATTTTAATATATTCAAAAGTTAATTTATTACTGCAATGGCAAAACTGAATTTTCCACATCATTCAGTGCCACATGATCAGGTGAGTTGGTGCTCAAAAAACATTTATTATTATTATAAATATTGAGAACAGTTGTACTGCTTATATATATATATCTTTCTTGGTTTTCTAAATACATCTTACTGATCTTATTGTAAACGATTCATGTGTGCATATGTTTCTTTTTTATATATATATAATTATTTACCTTTAAGTCCATCATTTTAAATTAAATGTCATAACTTAATCTTCTGGTGAGTGCCAGGGTTGTAATTGTTAACTAAAACTAAAACCAAAATAAAACATTCATTACTTATACATAAAATTAATATTATATTTTATTTTATTTTATTTTAACTAGTCGCCAATGCCCCATTTTTAATTTTTGTTTAGTTAAGTTGATGTATTAAAATAATTAATATAACCAGCAATAAATGTAAACAAAATAATAATAAATAAAAAAAACTATATAAAATGTTCAACAAAATGACTAAAACTTTTACTAAAATAAAAATTAAAACAGAAAAAAATAAATATAAAATAAAATCTAATTGAAAATATTAACAAAAATTATAATCGTATAAAAGTGCAAGCTCACAATCAGGTCTGCCTCCATCCAATCAACAACTGATGGACAGATCCAATATCACAATATGGAAGATTCACAGATCACAAATCTGTTGCTTTTTCCACGTTTTAGTGTTGAATATCTTTAAATGCCTGTAAACTGGATGTTTAACTGTTTTACTGGGTGAAGTTGGTGATCAGGGTTACCCAGGATCACAGGGAGCCCCAGGGCCAAAGGTCAGAGGTCATTCTTTCTCTGGTTTTGACATCAGAATATCGAAAAACCCACCATTATGATCCAAAAACATACTATCCTTTTCCTTCATTTTGGTATTTAAACAAGAGAAATCAAGCAATATAATTTTTTTCCTGTTCATTTTCTGTGTATTTATCTTCTGTTTTGCACTCTTTAGTCTCATAGGTTCAATTTCATTCAATCTTCTCAGCATATTTTTTGGATTTGATCATGTGCTTGATTTCACCATAGCCTCTGACCATTACTTAATCATTAGCAGCGTAATAAGAATGATTTCATAGAGTAACGGGCGGGCTTCATATGGATCTGACTGCTCTGTCCAAGCATCTTCTGCTGCAGTATTTCTCTCTGCGATCTGTTCTGTATTAATGTAAATGCTCTGTATACGTTTGGCAGGGTGAGCAGGGAGAGCCAGGTCCTCAGGGTGACCGAGGAACCGATGGTCTGCCAGGCTTGAAGGTGAGCGCTGGGTGAAGCTCTTTCTGTTATGTATATATATATATATATACAGTATATATATATATATATATATATACAGTGATTCTTTGATGAACAGAAACTTATTTGAAATAGAAATCTTTTGTAGCATTATTGATTTCTTATCATGTATATGCACTACATCAGCTTTTAGTCTGAATAAATCAGAATAAAACATATAAAAACAAAAATATATATTGCATGAAATTTTGTTCTTAAAAATGGTACATATACATTTACTCTACATGATCTTAATTTATTAAAACTGTTACATTTCAAATTAGAAATATATATTAAAATGCATTAATAAAATGTACTGACGTATACACTGTATATACCAACCAAAAGACATTATGTTTTCATGATATGTCCTTTATGAAAGTACACCTCATGAAAATCCACACAAACAAGTTTTGGTAATTCACAGTTCATCATTCATCCACAAAATTCTATCTATAACCAGACCTAAAACTATGTTTTTTCTGCTTTAAAGTGTTGCCAATCAGATAGGAACACCACCGAGGACGGTGGCTTAATTCATAATTTCTCTCCTTCACTCTCACAGAGAGAAAATATGTACACTCATGTACGTGTTCACGGAGGGGGTTACGCAGGCTCATAGCCAGCCCTTTTGTTTCTCACGGCAGCGCCAGCTTCATTAGCATAAATTAGAATATCTCACGGCAAGAGAGCGACTCATAGCTATGCGTTACCTTCACATAACGACACACGTCCTCCCGCACCCCTCGACTCTATCTTCTTGCCCGCTGTAACATCTAACCCCCTGCTGATTAAAGAGAGTGGAAGGGATCTTTCGCACAGCCACACCACGCCAATAGCATTACATTAATCTACATTAGAAACATTCATTACATGCTAAACCACTCAGGCAACATGCCTCTTCCCCAGCACACTCTGTATATCATATCATTAGCTTAAAGTATATGGAATGAATATGAAAATACACTTCCCTGTTGAGACATTCCCTCAAGTAAAATACTAAGACGTGGCTGAGGCAACACTATAATTGTATGGTGAAATCTAACAAAGGTAGACGATATCAGTGTCATTTTATTACTCTAATACACACTATCTATGAAATGAAAACCTGTGTAAAAGTCATTTTTAGGCTGTGAATAGAGTCTACAGGATGTTTTAGGTCACACAGCTACTCAGTGCGAGTGTGTGTGTGTGCAGGTCCTCAATCTCTCCACGTTTCCCTGAACACAGGATACGACAGCGAATAAATGTTGATCAGTGTTGATTCCATCCAATAAGCACGTGTCGACTGACAGTGTTCCTAAGCTGCGGCGAAAGGTCTGGGTAATAACAGAAACACACAGGAAACATTATGCTGCTACTGAGGCATGTCCGTTCCAACGGCCCTAAGTATGATTAGCAATCACGTTCCAAATAAAACAGGAGGAGGAGAGACTCCCCTCATGTAGCTGTAGCAAACACAATATTTCTCCACAATTCACCACGACGGTCATTAGATATCTCGCCAGCTCTAAAATTACGTGGCACACGAAGAACAAATGAGTTAAGGAATGAAGCCCAAACTTTATTAAGCGTGGTGTTGCAAGCACCTACTACCGCTACAATAAAGGTAAAAGAACACCTCTGAATATTGTGAATATTACAAAAGTAATACAACCCTTACAAAATGTACTCTGTTTCCTTGTGTTTTCTCATCTCATAATGGCTATATTAATATATGAAAGAAAGACGTTTATTTGAAGCTGAAAGATATTTTGTAGAATTTCGCAGCTGAATCTTGTGTTAAAGGTAAATTAATCACTACTCTGAGACAAGTGTGAGATACGTATGAGCTTGTATCACTCATTTGACATGAGATACAAGTAAGGACATGCTTGTTAGTGTGTGCACGTGTCAGGTTAGATGATAACAGTGTATCAAATATCTCCATATTGCTTTTAGCATTATACACATGCCAGAAAGCATAATTTATTGAATGCCATCTTAAATTAACTCTTGAAGTCTAAACATGTGTTTTTGATCTCATTGTAAACAGTTCATCCAAGCATATGATTTTTAAAAAATCATTTTTTATTTTTATTTTTTTGTCATAACTCTTCCCGTGAAACAACTCTCTCTGGTGACGGATACCAAACCTCTCCAATCACTTAGTTTGCTTAAACCTAGGGCTGGACAATAATTCAATATCAATATGTTTCGCGATATAATTTTTTTCAATAACGGTGATATGATTTTTAAACACATTTCCGATATTTCGATATACATTACCAGTGTTTCCCATACATTGATTTATTTGTGGCGTTTGACTTCGTTAAATAAACATGAGCACTGCACGTTTCATAATCAAAACGCGTCGCGGGTGTTTTATATGAATGTATCTCTGAAGGGAACCGACTGTCTTCAGAATAGTTTAGATGGCATTTTTATCTGATAAAGTAGCGTTCATGAGCGGAGCTGCTTTATTTACAGCCATTACTGGAGAAACCCGTTAGTTCCACCGCTCTCACAGCGCCTCCTGCTGGCAGACAAGCAGTTCGCATTTTCAATAATAAACCCATTTCCAGCAACATGCTTTTGTTGTTGCTCTATTTTTTTGTTTTCTGAAGCAACTCGGAGCATGTTGCATACTCGTTATCCTGGTTAATGCACGCTTCAATCTATAAGAATAAT